CTGGCCAAGCTAAAGTCTGGGGCCCTGTATTCCTGAGATCCACGATTTTGGGGATCACCTGTTTACACATTCAGTTGGGTTGTACCAACTTGTCCTAAGGACAAGCTACCCCAGACCTTAGAGCTGGCTGCCCCCTGGCACGGCTATGTTCTTTGTTCACAGTCTTATACTGTGGTTATGTCATGGGGCAAGGTGGGCAGGGGTTGGGGAGGACTGTGAAAGTTGACAAAGGACTTGAATAGACATTTTCCTAGAGAAGATATACAAATGGCCAATAAACATATGAAAAGACACTCAGCATGATTAGTCATAAAAAATTCAAATTAAAACCACAGTGAGATACCATTTCACGCCCACTGGGATGGCTATCATCAAAAAGTCAGATCATACATTTTGGCAAGGATGTGGAGAAATCAGAGCCTTTACACACTGCTAGTAGTGTTGTAAAATGCTGCAGCTGCTTTGGAAAACAGTCTGGCCGTTTCTCAAGTCTACTTCTAGGTAGAAATGAAAATATGCATCCACACAAAAATTGTCTACGAATGCTCATAGCAGCATTGTTTGAGGGAAGGGGTCTGCAATAGCCAAAAAGGTGGGAAAAGTGTTGTTGGATCCTTTTCCTTCTTGTCAGGCCATGCATCTCAAGCCCTAAGGGGGTCCCTAGGGTATGTATATAGGAGTGGGTTGGGAGTCCAGGCCTCATGCTGACTTCCTCCAGAGCAGCTCTGACCTGTATTTGACACGGTATGGTTTTGCTGTTTCCCCTGCTGCTGCAAAAGGTTTAACCTAGATACCTTTTTTAAAGCATTTATTTGTATTTTTTTTGCACCCACCACTGCCACCTGTATACATTATACCTGATAGATTTCTTTTATCCCTCCACTCCTCCCCCTTTCTGAGACACCCATGTCCATGACATCATGCTCTATGTCTTTGCAGATCCTTAGTTTAGCTCCCACTTATAAGTGAGAACATGAGGTGTTTGGTTTTCTGTTCCTGTGTGAATTCACTTAGGGTGATGCTCTCCAATTTCATCCAAGTTACTGCAAAAGACATGATTTCATCCTTTTTGATGGCTGAATAATATTTCACAGTGTGTATATATGCCATATTTTCATTATCCACTGATTGGTTGTTGGGCATTTAAGTCGATTCCACACCTAGATGTCTTTGGCATGCCCTTTGAGCCAGTTCTGCCCTCTGGATTCCCTCTGAACCTCTATTGCTCTTTTAACCTGGTGGATAAGTGGTTTCCCATGTGAATGATCACTCCACATGCAACAAAGCAAAAGCCAGGATTCACTCTTCATTCAAAGCCTTGGTGTCCTGCACCAGACAAGGCCCGGCCCGGCCTGGCCATCTGCAGAACCCACTGCACCTGTGTCCCTGCCCATTCCCGAGGAACCAAACCCAGTAAACACTTGCTGAGATCAGCATGCTCAGGCCCAGAGCAGTCCATGGCCTGCTGAGGCCTGGGGAGAGGAGGAAGCCTTGCCTTCCCCAGGAACGAAGCCCCCAGATCCTGGCTGGCCTCAGCACACAGGCTGCACCCTTGGGAATGCCTGAAGGAGGCGTATTCAGCAGGCTCACTCCAGGACTGGGAGAAGGGGTGGCACTTTAGAAATGACCAAAAGTCATAAAAGTCCAGCTTTGCTCACCACTAGGAAAGTGAAAATAAGTCAATGATGTAAATGTCCTTTGTCACCAACCAAACCCATAAAAAGTTCCCCCTCAAATCCTGAAACTACAACCTTTGGTATGGATGAGAAAAATGGGAGATAGGCATTGCTTGACAACAGGAGGGACATGGCATGTTTTCCTGGAGGGTGACTCAGCATCGTGTCCACAGCTAGCATCCCCTCTTATTCTTGAGTGATTAGAGATGTATATCAAGGATTCATGCAGCAAGATGTCATCTCTGCCTTCTTTCTAAGGGCCCTGTGGGACACCCTTTCCTCCATCCCCAACAGAGGAGATCTAGTCCTCTGGCAGTGGGAGCATTCTGCAGCTGTTTAATGGCAGTGTCCTACACTGCTGCCAAGACCCCTTAGTAGGCCGTGAACCGAGTTAGTTGAACTAGGCTAGAATTTTAAAAACACAGAGAGAAAATGTTAGGGAGCGGTCCTCCTGGTAAGGTTCAACCTGTTGGTTGGTAAGGACTCATGTTCGTTTCATGTGTGCAAGGACCCGGTGTCATTCCACGTGGTGAATCAGAATCAAAAAGTATGCCAACCAATGGTGTGAATGGAGATTTAAGAGTATGGAATAGTGTTTATCTCACTAAAATTCACAGTTTATACAACTGAATGTACATTATGATTCCATTTTGAAGAAATAATGTACCTATACGGAGAGATGGTGTAGACAGTGGCTATCTCTAGGTGCCAGGATTTTAGAGTCCATTTTGCTAATTTTCTAAATTTTTTTCCGCAGTGCACCCATATTCCTTTTGGTGGAATAATAAGCAAAACAGTGAAAGGCAGAATATTGGGGCAGGGTGGGGGGAGCACAGAGAAGAATCGGCTTCTGCCTTGATGAAAGGGGACTCCTCATTCTCCCTGGCCTTGGTATGCAAAGCAGTGAGAAGCTGGCGGGCCCTCCTGAGTCTGTGGCTCTTTCTGCCCCCTGGCACTGACCCTGCTGGTGGGCTCTGATGGGCTGTGCTGTGTGCCCAGACCCTGCCCACTTGAGTCTTTATTGTCTCCACCCCCCAGGCTCGAGGAGGACCCAGAGTACAGGCACCAAATCACTTCGAAGATATGGAGCAAGCTAGGCTGGAGTCAAAGGGGCACAGAGCAGGGAACAAGCAGGGGACAGGCCAGAGGTCAGATCGCCCCTGAACAAGCAGGGGACAGGCCAGGGACAGGTCAGGGGACAAGCTATGCAGGGTGGTGGACAGGTTCAGGGATAGGCTGTGAGGCCAGGATATGCCTGGTGCAGGATGGGAGAGGGCAGGAGAGAGATAAGGTATCCTAGGGTGATGGTTCACATACCCCCTGCCTCTCTGACATCCATATCTGGGGCTCCTATCCCTTAGCAGAGAGGATGAGGTAGCCAAGGAAGAGGACAGTTCAGGGCCTGGGAAAAGCCTTTGGACCAGACAGATTTGGCCTTAGAACCCCAGCTCTGCTACTTACTGGCCTTTAGGGATCTTGGTACCCCAAAGTCCCATCTGAAGCTTGGGGAATCATAGTCCCCATCTCATGAGGTTCCTGTATGGTCAAGGTGAGGTTACACACCAACCCCTGGCTCACACCACCCCAGCCAGCTGCTGAGCTTGGCCAGGCTCTTGTATTATCTCAAATGCCCTTTCCATTCAGCTGGTCCTGCCCCAGCAGACCTGCTTCCTCCAACATCCCACACCCACTGGCGCCTTGCCCACCCTGAGGTCGTCGATGGTGATTGACCACAGTCTGTCCTGTGCTGGGATCTGTGTTCCTATTCCCCCTGTGCATGCTGCCCAGTGACTAGCAGGATGGTATGACAGGTACAGAGAGAGGGGAGAAGCAGCATGCCTCATTTCGCTAAGTGCTTCCCCACTTGCAAAGCACCTGGGTGCATTCCCTCCACACTGTTTTGTTGGGACATCTGAAGCTGGACTGGAATGATGACTGTGTCTGTCTCTAGTTGAGTGACTCTGGAGATTTCTAAATTCCTCAGAGCTTTGGTTTCCTTATTTTCAACAGAGGGACTGTACAGGGACCACCACCCTCTCCCTGCAGGGCTTGAGTAGATGGTTCAGAACATGCTTCAAGTTGGAAGGAGCTGTGCTCATGTGACTTGCTGCTCTGAGGAAGAGGGTGGCCTGGTGAGTGGCATAAGGGGGTTTAGTCTTGGATTTGGGAAACATGGGCAGTGATGCTGTTGATGCTGTGCTCTGTCCCCTTGGCCCAGTTGAGCTCCCCTGAAGCTGGAGGAGCTGGTATCCAGCAGGCCGACAGACAGCATTCCCTGAGTTCCTCTCCTGCCTGGGAATGCTTTCTGGTTTCCCAGGAGAGTCCTGTTCTGCAAGCAGGCACAGCCAGTGCATAGGAGTGTTAATGGCCGAGGGCAACCCTGCCCAGGGTAGACAAAGCCAGTCCAAGTGGGACACTATAATTTGGGATCATCTCCAAAACAAATGACTTGCCCCAAGTCCTTGTCTGGTTTAGGGGAACCCAAAACTTGGCCAAGGTTCTCTACTTGCTTTGAACAAGTGGTCTCAACCTTCTGGATTTGAGTTTCTTCCCTAAAAGATGGATTGGGGGAGCCTACCTCATAAAGTCATTAGAGAGGTAGAGTGTTTGAAAATGCAACTGATGCGGAGTCAAAATGCAAACCCCCATGAAGCTGAGGAAGGAAGAGGTGCAGCCTGTCCAAATGGCAAAGAAAGCTACTGACAAATGAGACCTGCATGATGAAACCACTGAACAGTTGAAGAAGAGCAAATTGACAAGCAAGAGGACATGATGGAGGTCTCCAAGAGAACGACCATAACAAGATGAAAGATACTCTTAGGGAAAATATGGGGTCCCGGAAGATTTTTGCCAAAATGCTACAACAATTTGGTTGGACAAATTGTGTCACAGATACCAGTCAACATTGGATTAATTCTTTGTTGGGTCTAGGAATTAGTACATAGTTGCAACTACCACCCACCTTTGTTAAATATAAAATAGAATTTCCCCATCACTTTTCATTATTTCATTTTTTTAAAGATGAAGTGCCAAGCATGCCATTTGGAGGTTACATCCTTTGAGAGTCTGATGTCTAAGTGACTGATTCCTGGAATGCACTATCCCTGCTAACCACATGGATCTCCCCTTTCGCGTCTGTCTTCCTCACTGAAAGTGAGCTTCACATGGATAGGGACCATGCCGTGTCCTGTTCATTGGTGAAACTTTAGTGCTTGCCACAAAGCAGGGATGGCTGGCTGGCTGGGTGGGTGGGTTTAGGGATGGAGAGATGGAGGGATGGAGGGACAGAGGGATAGTACGTAGGTAGGTAGATAGACAGAGAAGGAGTCTGCACAAAATGAACATTTATTTGGGGTGGTATGGAGGGTGCCGCACGTACAGGCTCTCGATGGTGTGCAGGGACTGCTTCCAGCAGTCCTTCCAGCGTTGAGCCTCCTTCATCTGAGATGTGTTGTCGTCCTGGATCCTCTTCAACTCCTCCTCAAAGGATGCTAAATATTTCTGGGAGGAAGGTAGCAGGAGGGGGCCACATGAACAGGGACTTCTGAACTCTCTGCCCTAAGGGAATGCTGTAAACTGCTGGCAGGTGGCTTTTAACCCATTCTGGGCACTACCAAGTGGTCCACAAACCATTTCCCAGGTTGAAATCAGGCCCAGTTGTTTTCCCCATTTTTTAAGATGGAGCCTTGCCTGGAGTCACCTAGCTAGAAGGAGGCTGAGCAGGGACTAGGACCCATGTCTGTCTGACTCTGGACCCTGCGTTCCTTCCTAACCTGCTCTGTGGTCCACCCGGAGCTCAGGAGTCCTGGTTCCTGGCAGGTTGAGCCCACCAGACCTCTTGCCCTCACTGAACACAGCAGGCAGAACTGCTTCTTCCACCTGGGGCTCAGAGGGGCAGCTGGAGAAGGGCCAGTCCTGGGCACTCTGGGCTCTTCCAACAGTGGGACTAGTTGACCTCTTAACAGGACAAGGTTTCTCTCTGGACACCAGGACCAAAAGACCATAAATCCTCAGAGCTGAAAGGTCCCTCAGGTGGCATCTGGGTGCAGCCTCCTCATCAGGCCAGCTCCATGGGGGTCTAACAGGCACTGGGATCAAGTCCTGGCTCTGCCCCTCTGTAGTGGCATAGAGGGGGCAAATTTCCTTAAGTGTGATGCCTCATGTCAAGAACAGAAGCTCCCTGTCAGTGCTCCAGAGGTACTCCTGTTCCTGCTGCTTGTCATTGCCATGGACCTCTACAACCATGGCTTCCATGCCTGTTGACAATGTCCCCTAGCTCTGGCTCTACTGTGCCCTGAAAGCCTTTCTCCACCCCCAATCTGAGTGGGGTTTCACTCTGCTGGGCTCCCACAGCACCGGGATCACACTGCAGACTCAGGACTAGACTAGACCCACAGCCATGTCCTTGTGCCTGAGACTGTCAATTGTTCCAAGTGCTGAAGCCCATAGCTCTGGGGTGCACTGCCCCATGAGCCCAATGTTGGGGTGCCGGGTGATAGGAAACTCCCTCCTTCCCAAAGAAATCAGACTGAGCTGTGCTCCCTGGACACACCCATTTTCCCTCCCTCATCTACTTCTCACCAGGTACACGGCATCCCGAGCTTCCACGGTTGCCAGGTGGCCCAGGGTCGTTTTGGTGGTGGATATTGATGGTGTTTTTCGAAGAAGAATTTTGTTTTGGATGGTGACTTCGGTGGGTTTGATCCCTGGCCACTTCCTACAAACAAATGTGTGTGAATGTCCCATGGGCTTGTCTTCATCAAATCAGAGTCCTCCCACCATCCCTGTTGGAAGAGCTTAGCATATTTCTTTTTAAAAAAATGCCATGACTTTACACATCTTAACAGAAAGCGGGGGAAAAAACACTCTACTGAGCATTGTAATACTCCTTTAAGATCTCTTTCATATTCCATGCTGTTCTAATCATTGTGTGCAGACAGTCTTGGGTTGTGTGGAAGCAGAGTGCCACAGCTAGCTCAAGCTGCTTCCCTGTTCTGGGCCTGTTTCCTCATCAACCTGTCAGCCAGGCAGTGGTCACCAGCTCCTGGCCTACTTTTCCTAGTATGCTATAAAGGCCCCTTCTGAGAACATAGCTGAGCAAATCACTGCTTTGCTTCTTCTTTCAGAGTCACATTCTTGGGGCTTAAGGGACAGGCACTTTTTTTTTTTTGAGTTGGAGTTTCACTGTCACCTAGGCTGGAGTGCAGTGGCATGCTCATGGCCACCCCAGCATCAACCTGCTGGGCTCTGGTGATCCTTCTGCCTCAGCCTTCCAAGTAGCCAGAACTATAGACGTGCACTACCATGACCAGCTAATTTTTTGATTTATTGTAGAGATGAGGTCTTGCCAAGTTGCCCACGCTGGTCTCAAACCCCTGGGCTCAGGCACTCCTCTTACCCTGGCCTCCCAAAGTGCTGGGATTACAGGCTTGAGCCACCGCGCCCAGCTGAGACAAGCACTTTGACTACTCTCTTCACACATGATCTCAGACTGTTCTCCCATGGGGACAGGCCTCCCTTTCACTGTGAGCCCCTTTGGTCCTTATCCTTCGAACTCATAACTGTGGAGCTTTTTGTAGGTGCCAGGGGTTCTCTGGGCTCTCTCTTATTTAACATCCTCTTCATAATATCATGTAAAGTAGACTGCCATTCCCATTTCACAGATGAGAAAACTGAGGCTCAGAACACAATGCCTTTCCAAGGTTACCATTCTGTCAGACTTTGGGGCCTGAGCCTCTACCTGTTACCCTGTACCACCCCCAGCAGATACAGCTAGTCATGGTAGTCCTTGTTGCTGTTGGCCCTCACCTGCTCCCACGTTCAATCAGGGGCTTCTCATTCTCTTCCTCCAGAGAGAGCCCAGCGAGTTTCCTCCGTATGAGGACTGAGATTTTCTGCTTAGGGGGCTCCGTCCCTAGAGGCAAGAGACAGGTTGACTGTGGCCTCACTGACTGCCTGAGATCAAGTGACTTCCTTGTTGTTACATTTAGAGATATAGAGCTTGCAGCTCCCTCCTCCCCACTTGGAGTCTCCAGTGGCAGGCCGAGGCCCCTCCATGGAGAAACTGAATGTACCCCTATGTGGCTGGGGGCAGTGGTGGGAACAGGGGTCATTGCTGGAGGAATCAGAGGGTGGTCTGGGTGCTGCTCCCAGCTCCAAATCTGAGCTTCATGCCCCGACCCTCCTGAGGTTTGCTTGAGGCCTCGAATATGCTCTGTAGAATGTTCTTTGGCTCGTTCTAGCCCATATGGATTCTGAACTAAGAACTTCCCCTGGAACAAGCACATCTGAGGTTGTTCCTCAGATGTCCGGCTTGCAAATCCAACCCTTGATGTTCTTTCTTGATGGGGAGGAGAGGGTCTGTGTGCGGAGTGAGAGCAGGCGGGCAGGAGTGGCTGGCCCTGCACGCTCCTCTGCCATGACAGGTAGTGTCCACATATACTAGAGAGGACCAGGACTGGTTGTCAGCAAACTTAAAAATTGTCAAAGTATTGGTGACAAATGATATCTGAATAATGTTTATATTCACATTTGTCATCATCAGTAAAGCTGAGCGTCATTCATAGTTACTAGCCACATGTATTCCTTCTCTTTTGAAGTGTGTGTGTTTGCCCTTTGTTCTTTAAAAATTTGACCTGTGAGAGTTCTTTGTACTACAGGGAAATCAACCCTTTCTCTGACCTACAGGTTGTGATGGATACTTTTTCTGTTTGTGGTTTGTCTTTCTATCTTGCGACATTTTTATGTTTTTGTTTTAGCTACAGAGAAGTGCCATTGTTTTCTTTATGGCCTCTGGCGCCCATGCCATACTTAGAAAAGCTGGCACTAACCCCAAGAATATGAAAATATTTACTATTAGGATTTTATTTTTGATCCATTAGGCATTTGCCTTTTTAATTAAAAAAAATTTTAATACAAACATACAACAAAAAAGTAATCGGTCCCCTCAGTGGAGGACCTATTTTCACTCTGCTAGAGTTGGAGAAAGCAGAGCCTCTTCACAACCCACCTCTCACTCAACCTCCACCCCCCTGCCCTGACCCGGGGTCAGAGCACGAGGCTGGTGGTGCCACTTACTTGCCACCTGGACATCATCAATGGTGACCACTTCATCCAACTGTAGCAGGAACTTCTCAGTGAAGGTGGCCAGGCTGGCTATGAAGACCCGGCAGTGCTTCCTGGTAAGTTCCTGGGAAAAACACGAAGAGCACAGTGTTGCAAGGAGAGGAACTTTCTCCCAAGCTGGCGGGGGAGGGTTGGGTGGATTGTGTAGGAAGGATTTGGGGAGCCAGCTGCTAAGCCAAGACCAAAGCAGTTGTATCCACTGTGTCCAAGTTAACCAGCAGCTGGTCCTCAGCCGGGAGGCCTCCCCCAAGAGGTGATTTGGCCTGAAGATAAGAAATGATTCAGAAATGACCAAGGGACACACACAGAAACAATTCACAGAAGAAGAAATGAAACTAGACATGGATCGTGAAAAAAAGGTTGTCATTAATAATTTTGTAATTAATTAATTCAGAGGTCAAAAAGGGTACAAGCTAAGTAGCCAATAATAACCATTTTACCTCTAAAACTCACCTACTTTTATGCCTACTTTGGCCAAGGTGCCAACTGAAGGTCCCACCCAGCCCTGTCAGTGACTGTCCATTAGGCCATGTTTTTGGAGGAGGCCCCGCCTGGGGAATCAATAGCACCACTGACCTCCAGCTTCTCTCTGTTCATCCTAATCACGTTGTTCAGTTCTTCCTGTCTTTTCTCTTCTAATAAATTCAGGGTCTCCCTTTCTTGGCGATGTGTGGGGTGTCCAAGATTTGGATGGAGCTTCTGAGCATTTTCATCCTTCAATCGAACAATTCATAATTCATTGAGGGTTTTGACTCAGCCTTGAGGTCAGGACCAAAAAGTCACCTTCTATCAGTTATGACCATGACCAGACTGATAGCCAGATCAATTCTGACCCGGGTGTGTGGAGGGCTGTGGGTAGGCAGAGGAGTGGCAGAGAGGGCAAGAGGGGAACCTGGCTGGAACTGACTCAGAGGATTCAGGGGAGGGCAGGCTGAGCATCTACCTGGCTCAATCAGGACTTTAGTCCAATGAAACCAGCAACATCCATGTCCCCCAGTTTGAAGGACCAGTGTGGGCCATCATTGTTGATCCCAACGAACCCAGAGAACCAAACCATTAAATCCAACAAGGAGTTTGCTAAACAGTTTCTATGTAGGAGTTGTCAGCTCAGCTTTTATTTTGCCAATGCCTCCTGTCCCTCAGCTCCCATCCAATAATCCCAAACCTGGCACATCTTGCCTTGGACTTAGCCTTGCCCACGACCTGCCTCCAATTCTGAACCCCCAGGAACCCTGGTGTGGAATGGAAGAACTGGTTCAGGAGTCTCACCCTTCTTTTCTCCTGCTGCTTCAGCTGTTCCTCATACTGTCCTCGGCTCTCTTTCATGGAGGTACAAAACTTTTTCCAGTGGTGTGCCTTAAAATTCTCCATCACCAGCCAACACACCTGGGGCAGCAGCTCCTCAAATCTCCTCATCTGGATTCGTAATTCTGCAGGAATTGGGGGTTGAGAGCAAAGGAAGGAACAGAATAGAATCAAGATGCTGAGGTAAAGTCTCCATAAAGGCCAAAGTAGTTTCCCAAAGGGAAAACCCTGATCTCTGATGTGGTAATAGCTATTTCATCAAAAGGCATCCTGGGGTTAAACTAGTATAGAAAATACTGTTTTAAACAAGTTCAAAAGGCTTTTCCTCTCTACTCTGCAAACTTCTCAGCTCATTTAAAATGCATTGTGTCTTTCAGCATTTCTGGTGAGTTCTCATCCATTATCTCTTCACCTCTAGTCTCCTCCCTCTCCCCCTGCACCTTCAAATAGCCATACATTAGACCTAGACTTTCATCTATATCTCTCCACCTCTCTCCTTTATTTTCATCTCTTTTCTTTTCTGTGTTATATTCTGAATATTTTCTTTGGATCTGCCTTCGAGCTCACCAATTTCACCATCAGCTGTATACAATCTGGTAGTAAAGTCATTCATACCTTTAAAATTTCAACTTATTTTTTCCGTGGTAGAATTCTATTTATTTCTCTTTCATATCTACTTGGTTGTTTTAATCGATTCTTGCTTCTTATTCATGTTCCCAATTGCCTCTTTTACTTAACTAGAAGTGTATTATTTTATATTCTGTGTCTGGTACTTTCACTATCTGAAGTCTTTGCTGGTCTCATTCTGTTGCTTCTTGCTCAAGATGTTTTTGTTGGCCGGGCTCAGTGGCTCAACCTGTAATACCAGTGCTTTGGGAGGCCGAGGCAAGTGGATTGCCTGAATCTGTGGATTTGAGACCAGTCCGGGCAACTTGGCAAGACCTCATCTCTGCAATAAAAATCAAAACTTAGCCAGGCGTGGTAGCACATGCCTGTAGTTCTGGCTACTTGGAAGGCTGAGGTGTAAGGATTGCCTGAGCCCTGCAGGTCAACAGTGGGGTGGCTGTAGTGTGCCACTGCACTACAGCCTGGGTGACAGAGTGAGACTCCAACTACAAAAAAAAAACCAAAAAAAACGATGTTTTTGTTTGTGGGGGTTTTTTGTTATTACTGCTTGTTTATTACTGTGGCTCTTATCTTTTTTTTTTTTTTGAGTCAGAGTCTCACTCTGTCGCCCAGGCTGGAGTGCAGTGGCACACTCACAGCCACCCCACTGCCTTCTAAGTAGATGGAACTACAGGTGTGAGCTATCACGTCCAGCTTATTTTCTTGATTTATTGTAGAGACGCGGTCTCACCCAGTTGCCCAGGCTGGTCTTGAACCCCAAGTTCAGGCAATCCTCTTGCCCTCCCAAAGTGCTGGGATTACAGACTTGAGCCACCGCACCTGGCCATTCTGGGCATCTTATTTGTGGGAATCCTTTGAGGCTTGAGTTGAAAATAGGTTTTTCAGCCAGGCTCGGTGGCTCAGCCTGTAATCC